GCACCGCCCTGTAAGTTGCATCAGTCTAATAAAGTGGAAAAAAACATAAATACGTTGCTTCGCTGTATAAGTTGCATCTATTAATGCGTCACCGCCGACAACCAGGAACTGTGGGCCGATGTGCCAAAAATCGATCGGCTGCCAAATTCATTCAACCTTTATTTATTTAGATGGTGGCCGCAGGAGCGTGCACGGGAGGGCTTGAACAAGAATTTAACAAAATTAACACTTAAAAACAATTTGTTTGCTCGACATTATAACAGTCTCAGTTGAACTTTTACTTAATAAATGCACTTCAGTGGTCACATGAGCTGCATTTCACCGGGGCGGTGCAGAGAAATTAAGTTTATTTGACGGTTGCTCCCGGCGAGCTGGATGAAGGTGCAAGTCTATGGCAAGCCGATTGTGTCGTTAATAGCCACTTTTAACTATTACATGACACAACGGCATGCCATACTGCTCGAGTGCCATCTACCGTCTGAACATGGAAGTGTTCATTATTTTCAGTCAGAATGAACGACAACGGTCATATCTCAGCCAAAAATTGGTTTATTGGGGGGGGGGGGGGGTCATCGCAGGGCATGCAAATTATGCAAAACAAAAACCTCGACTTATAGGGCGAAATGTACGGTAAGTTTGAGGAGAGAAAGGTGTGTTTTGCAGAAATGAGCAGAGTTTCTGCAGCAGTCTGGGTCCAGGAGCAAAGAGAAGCCACAAGGAATGGAAACTGCAGTAAAGCTTTGGCCTCCATCCCTCAGGATGAGAGCAGGGTAAAGACGGGGAGGGACGGGGTGGGGGTGGGGGCCAGCCTGTGTCTGACCACTGTTTAGGTCTGTGCATTATCTCAGACGCTTTCTTTAGCTTTACTGTGGTGAAAGGCTCCAGCTGATGACACGCATGTTTTCCAGTTATTTAGTGGGTCTGTCGATCTTTTCCTGTGGACCTGCGCTTTTTAAACTCTCGGCAGCCGAGTGCCGTTAGCTCTTCCTTTTTCTGTGCTGCCATGTTAGCTTGACCGCCCTCAGAGAACCGATTGAGTCCAGCGGACTTGAACAACTAGACGAGGAAAGAGAAGAATAGATTTTCATCTGCTTAAAGGAGAATGAGGAATTCAGCTGTGGGTTTTCAGTGGGTGTTGACGTAGAGACTGAAAGAAAGAATGGACATCTTAAAGCCTAATGTGGGGGGATACAATAAAGTCAAACTCTCCTGCCTTGTAATAAAACTGGTTTTATTCGAGTGGATTTTGGATCCAGTTGATTTTCTGCCTTCTAATGAGCTCAGTAACAAACTGAAAGCACATTTTGGATTCAGGACATCTTTTAAAACATGACCAGGAGCTCCATGTTTAGCAGGAAATATTAGGATTTATGTTTTACTCTAATACTAAACATGTTTTTTCATTCATTTGACCTTTATTTCTACAAGTTAATCCCATTGAGCCTCAGGGACTTGTTTACAAGAGAGACCTGAATTTGAACAGAGAGTGACGACAACAATGGACGATCATAAAAAGCATACGAATTGAAAAGAACAAATAAAAGAAAATGGTGTGTGTATATATAAAACAAGAAACAAACAGCCAGGTTGTAAAGTGATGTAGAAAACTAACAACAGGAACATGTCTGCATTGGTTTTTGTCAGGAACAGATGTTTGAAGCCACTTGGAGGTCAAGGTCAAGAGCTTCAGATCTTTTTACAAGATATTCCAGGAAACAGGAGCGGAGTAGGAGAAGGCCCTTTTGTCTAGTTCAGTCCTCACTGAGGGAACACTGCAGGTAATGATGTCCTGAGAGCGCACGCTGTAGCTGCACTCACGCAGAGACATGTAGGAGGAGATGTATGAAGGCAGCAGACCAAGAAGTGATTTAAAGATGAAAATGTACCAGTGGGAGAGTCTGTGAAGTTAATGATGTCCAGTTAACCAGTGAATACTGGGTGCAGTGGTGGGTACGGTAGTTACAGCCAGTTATGAATCTTAGTGCACCGTGATAGACAGCATCCAACATCTGCAGCATCCAACATCTGCAGGTTCTTGTAGGAGCGTTCATGTAAATGATGTCGCTGTAATCAATGGAGGGAAGGGACGGCGGCTGCGGCTGAGTGGTTAGAGCAGTCGTCCTCCAATGCAAGAGTTGGGGGTTTGAATCCACCAGCAGTCACATGCCGACGTGTCCCTGGGCAAGACACTGAACCCCTCATTTCCTCTGTGTCCCATCGGTGTCCGAATGTGATCTATAGCTCTGATTATTCTTTGTAGAGATCTAGTATAGAGCTGTATGAATGGGTAAATGAGGCACAGATGGTGTTGTAAAGCACTTTGAGTGACTTGATCAGATAGAAAGATGATGTATACAGTCCATTTATCATTTTTGAAGAGCTCACAAAATCTGAATCTATAAAGATTATTTAAAGTAAAAAACTAGAATGTGTGGGTTGTTGAGGAACCATTCACTCACTTAAAATAATAAAATCAAAACACGCAGCTCTCCGTAAGTGTGATTTTAAACCTTCTGATGGAGCAATGCCACTCTTTGTTCAGCGTGCACGTGCACGTGCGTGCGTGTGAGCTTTTAGTGTCGGGTTTTCATGAGAAGGCTCCTGTCTCAGAATTCACCATGCTGCAGAAGTGTCAGCGTAATATTGCCGGCTGAATGGATTCATTATTGTTCTCGTGTGGTTTCTGACTCAAAGATCTTCTTGTTTTCTGTGATAAAACCTGCACCTTAACAGAAACAGTCATTTAATTGTTTTCATTGTGGGCCGAGCACAGCCAGAACCGCTGAGGTCCATGTTTGAGCCTCTAAATTGCAGTTTTCTTGGATGTCGGCTCCGAGTTCTTTCTCTTTCTGTTCTCTTTTAAAAGCTTGTTTGCCACCTGTATAATCATGCGGACCTCTCACATCGCAGCCCTCCACTTATTATGGGATTTCAAGCCGATAAACATAGATTACCGTCACAAGTGGGGGTTAGTAGCAAAGTTAAGTGAAAACATATGTGCCAGTAAGCTCACATGCTGATTATAGAAACCCTTTGTTGGACTCTGTGGATCTGTGAGACTGTGTGACTTTCAGAGTGAAAACCAAAACATGGAAACTCTAAAACACGGAGGGCTGTGCTTCTTTGACTTTTTGTGAAGGAGCCACCGAGACGAGTCGGGCTTTGATGAATGTAACAGAGCCAGGATTTCAATGTCATCAGGACCAAAGGTGACACGAGGCCGTCTCCCGAGTCTGTTTACTGAAGCAGGATCTCATCTGGCTGTGACTTTTCCAGACTGTTTCATGACTCGGAAGTGCAAGAAAACCATTTTTCAAATGCAGACTCACTGAATTCTGAGCGCAGCAGCAGTTTTGTGTGGCTGGTTTGTAAAAATCATGCTTTACTTCCTTGGCCACGGCTTGCAGCACTGTATTCTAGGCTGCGCACATTATTTTGTTGCACACCTCCTCTCACGCCGTACTCTGCATACTACTCTCATTTAGGATTTATTCCACTGGAATACACTTAAAAAAAAAAAAGAAGATGGCAGTTTTTAAATAATTATTTATCCTCGATTCATCAGGTCGTGATCTACAGCTTTCACTGGAGCGGTTCGCAGCCGAGTGCGACGCAGCCGGGATGAGGATCAGTTCCTCCAAATCCGAGGCCATGGTCTTGAGCCGGAAAAGGGTAGAGTGCCCTCTCTGGGTCGGGGAGGAGGTCCTGCCCCAAGTGGAGGAGATTAAGTATCTTGGGGTCTTGTTCACAAATGAGGGGAAAATGGAGCGAGAGATCGATGGGTGGATAGGTGCTGCGGGCGCTGTACCGGTCTGTCGTGGTGAAGAGAGAGCTGAGTCAAAAAACGAAGCTCTCAATTTACCGATCGATCTACGTTCCCACCCTCATCTATGGTCACGAGCTTTGGGTTGTGACCGAAAGAACGAGATCTCAGATACAAGTGGCTGAAATGGGTTCTCTCCACAGGGTGTCTGGGCTCTCCCTTAGAGATAGGGTGAGAAGCTCGATCATCTGGGAGAGACTCAGAGTAGAGCCGCTGCTTCTCCACGTCGAGAGGAGCCAGTTGAGGTGGTTTGGGCATCTGGTTAGGATACCTCCTGGACGTCTCCCTGGTGAGGTGTTCCGGACACGTCCCACCGGGAGGAGACCCAGAGGAAGACCCAGGACACGCTGGAGGGACTATGTTTCTCGGCTGATCTGGGAACGCCTCGGGATTCCCCTGGAGGAGCTGGACCAAGTGGCTGGGGAGAGGGAAGTCTGGGCCTCCCTACTTAGGCTGCTACCCCCGCGACACCACCCCGGATAAGAGGAAGAAAATGGATGATGGATGGATGGATATTTATCCTGGATGTGGTTTTTATACCTGAACGTTCAGAAGGTTTCTGTTGGTGGGGAGCTCCTGTGCAGATGTCAGTCCCTGCTCTGGTGCTGCACAGTTTAGAGAAACTAAACTGCAAAGAGTCCAAGACGTCTGGGACAACTCTCCAACTTTCTTCAGGGTCTTTTGATCAAACAGGGGGGAAAATTATGCTTCGTTTTCTACGTTGTCTATAGAAGGGGTGTCCAGTCCTGAAGCTCGAGGGCCACTGTCCTGCATGTTTTACTTGTTTCCCTGCTCCAACACACCTGATTCAATGGTTGAATTACCTCCATGTTCTGCAGAAACCTGTTGATCACCCATTAATTTAAAACAGGTGTGTTGGAGCAGAGAAACCTAAAACATGCAGGAGGATGACCATCACGACCAGGACTGGACACCCCTCATCCATATTATGGATCTGGTTAAATTAGTATTCCATGTAATCTATGTTTGATATACAATCATTTTTTTATTCAGTCATTCTTTTAACTGTTAAAGATGTTTTTAAACTTGTACATTTAGACAGGGCCATTCTGGTCATTTGTCCATCATCCTGTTCTTCATGCATTGCTGACTTTTGAATGAAACGTTCTTTTCAGTGATTAAACTCACTTAATGTCGTCTGTTTTTCCTTTTAAAGGAGAGGATGCTGAGCCAGAGAAGCACCAACGCACGGAGTCGAGATGAGTTTGGGCTTCACTGTCTCCCAGGTAAGAACAAAACGTCTGAACTCGCAGTTTGACTTTTAAAATGCAACGAGACGCCACTGAACGACTCGACTTTACTGCACTCCTCAGATACTGTAGTCCCTCGTTTATCGCGGTGGATCTGCACCCTGAAGCCCCGTGATAAGTTCAAAACCGCGAAGTAGGGATAGAAGTACAAGTAGTAGTTTATTTTAGTACTTATATATATACATATATATTAAAGCATTTCAAACTCTTCCCACACTCTTGCAATATTCTAAACAATGTTTCTAACCTCTAAACGCTCTAAGAGAGTACAGAGTGTCGTGGTTTCAGCTCTCTGCCTCGCTGCTGTCAGCCACCTGCAAGTTCTTGGCCACGCCCACTTCTCTGCTCTGCGTGGAGAACAGCTGATCAGCTGCAGCAGGAAGTTTATCCTGCAGTGTGGGCTGCACAAAGGTGCAGCAGGTGCTAAATTAAAAAAAATATATTTATTTTAAATAAAAACTCCATGCTGATCGTGCGGCTCATCCATCAATCAGCCGTTTGTGTGTCATGTCCAATCTTATTTTGAAAAACCGCGATAGAGCGAACCGTGAAGTAACGAGGGACTACTATACTCCTAAAATGACTCGTTTCTTGAATTCATTTAGCAGCTAAACTAATTTAGAACCGATAAAATAAATTGCATTTTTAACAACAGTGATCCAGTTAAAGCTGAAGGAAAAGAATGGGTTTATTTAGCAGAGTTTAATGAATCCGTTAGCATGTTTAGTGTAACGTTGAGCTCCGACGTATGAAATAAAAAGCTACCAGGCTTGCTCCAGAGAGTCCCGACCTCTGAAATCCCTCGCTCCTAACCCAGGGCTTCATTAGTGGAGAGCGCTGCTCCTCACAGAAGTTTGTGTTGCATTGAGACTTTATCTCCGCACACATTTATCTGCAACAGCTCTAAACCTAAACGTGTCTCTGTTATCGGCAAGTCTCACAGCTTTACTCCTATTTTCATTCTTTTATAGTTCTTATTTGTTTTCCAACAGCGTGCTTTCTTCAAATACTTAATTATTTATGTTCTTGACAGCACATGTAAAATGTATTTCTAGATTTTAAGACTTCGTTGTGGAATGCTGCCTATTGTTTTTTTATGTGCTGCTGACTTTCAATCTTAAAGTAATAAAAATCTCACTTTAGTCTTTGGTGCTTTCCACTCTTCATCTTCATTCCAGCTAAATTAGAAACACAGTTGTCCATAAAAACCTGTTTAATGTGAAGCAGACGAGATCAGATGTGTTTGGGCAGAAATGTTTAGCTTTAATTCACTTTTCCTTCACTCTGAGCTCTAAATTAAACCGTCTGTGAGCTCAAGTTACGACGAGTCTTCCATAAATAGACGAACGGTTTCAGGTTTCAGACGGATGAATCGTCTGTTCAGACGCAGTGTTGAGACATTTTGTGGGAACAAGTTCACGTTCAGGCGCAGACGAACTAAGTGAAAAGGCTCGTCAGGACTCACTTGCTCCTGATGTCCCCTCCTCCTCAGGTTCACCCCCGCACCAAACACTTTTTCTTCCATGGAGCAACGTTTTATTCTGAAGTGATGCTAAATCTTTAGCTTCAAAGTGTCTGGAGCGTGTTTTCTGTCAGATGTTGGTTAGAAACAAACGTTTGCAGAAGCTGTTTTGTCCCGTCAGCAGTTAACGGACTCGTTGCATGGACGGTGTTCTCATGTGACGCCGGAACACAGAAGCTCAGAAACGGAGCCGGCCTGCAGGAGGGCAAACGGGTCAGCACAGCTGCGCCAGTTCCAGGTAGATCATGTACCGTTTCAAAGCTGCGAGGGGAGGAGGGGGCTACCGTCCGTCCTCACACAAAGCTCGAGGCCGGGACCCCCTTCAGAGCTACACCACAGCCCTTTTCTCCGAGTCTAACGTTACCGAGGACCTGAATGGCTGCCAGTCAGCTTCACGACTGGGATGGATGGTTGAGGAGCTGCAGCTTTCATATTTGGACACTCGGGTTTCATGTGAATTCTCTTTTCGTTTATTAATTTGTTCATTTTGGTTTGACGTAAAGAGGAATGCCGTTCTCTTGTTGGCCCTGCTGATCTTTGTATTCCATAAGGCCGATGATTGAAGAAGTGCAGAAACATCTGTTTGGCTGCTGTTGAAATGTTTTATTCAAGTTTTTATGAGCAATTTGTTCTGTCCTCCGCACTGACGCTGCCGTTTCTCACTGATTAGGATGTTTCTCTGCTGATTCAACGTTCACGCTGCTTTTTCTCTTTATTGGCATCTTTTTGACTCCTCCTACAAACTTTGTGACGCTTTAATCATTCGTATATCAAAACGTTTAACTCCTTTATGAAATTAAGGAAATCTGTGCTATGACTTTTTACAACTGTTTAACTGAATTTATAAAAGATTTTCTCATTTATTTACAATGGAAAGGATCTCATAAACATTGATCTTTGAAAGCATAATTCAGCTTGTGCTAATTCTGTTACTGCCAGGACTATTACAAATTATACTTCAAAACAAATGCATTTATTTTGGTCTTCTCACTCGGTGTCTCTCTCACGTTTATAAAAATCAAACTGTGTTCAGTACTGGGAAAGAACGGCCTTTAACTTGTAATGTCTCGTACGTTCAACACTGTAGAAACATCAAAATCTACGTAACGCCGTCAGTCTTCGGATCAAAAATTCTTAAGATCAAATGTATTTTTCACGCAGCGTGCGTTTGTTTGCTGCGTTTCTGTCTGCGTGTCTTTATCTTGGCCATCGGGGAGTGACGAGCGCAGTTTGTGGTTACCATAATGACCATAATAAGCCACTGGCAGCAGTTTTAACATTTATTTTTACCTTGTTTTTTTACACTTTCTACAGAGTTTTTACATTGAAAAAACACAATTGTATTATTTTAAAGGTGTGCCTCTCACATTTTTCTTGAGCAGATTCTTCATCTCCTTACATCCGACTTTAAACTTGATGTGTTCTATAAATTATTCATGTTCATATCGGTGCATTTGTGTAAATAACTGTAATTGGAGTGTTTGGATCTAATGTGTTTCAAGGCTTAAGAAGTGTTTTTTAATAACTGTTTTTAAAAGTTCTTCAAACTGTAATTGCTTTGCGTTTTACTATAAATCGCTGTTTGATTCATGAGTTTGCTTCATGGAATTAAAATGTATATAATTTTGCCTGTAATGAGGATTATTCACTGCAGCTGCTGCCAGAAGTTACAACGTACAGTAGTCCCTCGCTACTTTGTGGGTCTTTGTTCACGGACTCGCTCTATCGTGGTTTTTCAAAGTAGGATTGGACATGACACACGATGGCTGGTTGATGGATGAGCCGCACGATTGGCATGGATTTTTTTTATTTTAAATAAATAAATTTAAATTTAAATTTAAATTGCATCTTGCTGGGGGCCGAGATGGGGTAGAGGCAAGGCAGCTGACTCGGGACCCGAAAAGCCCCAGGTTCGATCCCCAATCATTGCACATCTCATGGTGTCTCTGCGCAGGACACCCTATCCCCCATTGCTCCCTGGGCACCTTCAATAGCTGCCCACTGCTCCACCTGATTGTATCCCAGGTGGAATGCAGAGAGCCAATTTCATTATAACACATTATTATTATTATTGTTATTATTTAAATGATTTAGCACCTGTGTGCAGCCCACAGTTGTGGGAGAATCTTCCTCCTGCAGCTGATCAGCTGTTCCTACTTCGTGGTTTTTCACTTGTCGCGAGGCTTCAGTGTACGGATCCCCCGCGATAAGCGAGGGACTGCTGCATTTTAGTTTTTGTTCTAAAAACCTAATAATAACGTGGGACTTCCTTCTGTAATAATATAAACTGACAAGATGCTGATGGTTTGATGTTCAGACTGTAGAAAACAAATATCAAAAGATATATTAAAGCTGTTGCCAGTGTCTCATTAAAATCGCCATGGTAACCACAATCTGTCACTCCCTGGCACAGTCTGAATACAACAGCCCGCCATAAATACACACCGGAGTTGCGTTCGTTTGTTTTTTCAATGCCACGTAAGGGAATTTATCAACATTTATGTTATCATGCGTGTTTTTGGTCAGTCAAAGGAGCCGGAGTACCCTGAGAAAATCACAAGTGCACAAGCAGAACATGCAAACTCCACCCAGAAAGGCTAGGAAGCAAACCTGCAACCTTTGAGGCGACAGAGCAAACCACTGCGCTGCCGTGCCACCAGTGGAAGGAGATGTAAATCAAGAATAGCTGAAATAACAGGCGAACAGTAAAAAGGCAGTCAGTCTCTGTTCATCGTTTTAATGTCAGTTGTTTGGTTTTGTGCTTTTTAATTTTTGCGTGACTGTGGCAACAGGTGCAGCAGGGTGGAATATTTTCTCTGCAGGAGGAACATCACAAACTTTACTGGGTTAAAGGACAATATAAACGCTGACGATGCATGTGCAGTACAAAAGTCTTGACGTGACCACGGGACTTCAGGCTGCTGTTGTCTTCCTCAAATCTTTTCTCCTGCAGGAAAGTTTTCGGTTCTGTTTCTCTGGAGAGACGTTAAACCACAGACTGCGCTGTGACAGCCAAGCGCTCCCTCTGCTCGCCGTCCTGAAGCTTTGTGTTGAAACGAGTCGTGGATTTGCTCTGGAACTTTTCCTGTGCTCTTTGAAAAACTGCATTTTAATGACCGTTCATCCTGGAGGGGTTAAACGGTGATCAGTGAACCACGGCGTGTCCTCAGCAGCGTAAAGAGGGCTTCGTGTGTAAAACGGGTCATTTCCTGTTTGTGCTTCTTCTCGACGCATTCGTTAGGCTAAGAGCCAGGAGAGGAGAAGGGCTGTCATTTCCAACATGAGCACCTTCCCTGTTCCTTTTACGAAAGCAGTTTTGTGCTTCTAGTTGTTTTTGTCTTTAAGTGAAGTAGAAACATTTGCTTGCTCACGTGTCTGACCGAAGGCTCCTCCCCCTGTTGTGGACAAAAAGCCCATTTTCTCCACATTTACCCAATTCTTGACTCTGTTGCCATGGAGACGCAGGGACTTGCTGGCCGAGGATCTGTATTCCTGCGGGAGACTTGTAAATGTGCTGGCTCACTGCTCCGTTGTCTGAAATAGTTACAGTGTTTTCTCCTTTAAGTGTTTTACTCACATCTGTGTCACAAACATTAAAATCTCACGAAGCTGGCTCTTAAATCGGATAAGTCACTCGGGTGTACAGAGTTTCTGTTGGTGTACTGTCAGTAACCTTGTACCTTTTATTGTTCTTTGCTCCTTCCTGCTCATCTGACTGAGAACTCGTAACAATTCAAGGACATGGTTTTGTTTTTTTTGTATAGGATGTTGTCACACCCACTCCCAGTCTCTTTTTAAAGTTGTTTATCTCTCTGTACACTTCCTGTTGCGTATCCTCCACACACTCAGCCATCACTTGCACAAAGAAGTTGTCAAACGCCGTCATCCCCAGCAGTGTGTCGGACTTTAACTGGTCAACATGTCTCCTGTGTGTCTTCACTAGGTGAGTGCGTACTTCAGAGGACGGTCATGGTGAGGAAGAAGCTGACGGCTAGAGAAGGCCGAGGCTGGCTCTCTGGTACCCTCTTCTGTACCCACTTTAGAGTCGCGTTCGTACCACAGGACGGTCCAAAACCTGATGTGAGTCCTTCAGCTGAACTGACCTCCTTGTGTTATATTACAGTTTAACCGTGTTGGTATTGAGTGCATTATAGATGGCCGTTTGAAGCCAATAAATAAGAGATGAAATGCAGAGGCAGTGAGAGCACTTTCATTTAACAGTTTCCTCTGGAATTAAGAGCACATAAAAGACCGCTCCAGATAATCAAACGCTCCCTGATCCATCACCAGGAAGTGTTGAAAGTAGAAGGTGTGAATTTAAAACTGTTTAATGGGCTGATGCTGCCCATCAGTCTGAGGTGAGTTAAATGTTATTTTACAAAGAGAGAGATTATTTACACGTAGGAAAATTCCAGTACAGTTTCCACCTTCCCGGGAGTGGACGTCCCAACAGATTCACCCCATTATCAGACTGTGCAGTGCTCAGAGAAATGGGAAAGAACACGAAGAACTTAATCTTGGTGTTCTTTGAGCAGACGAGACCAACATGGCGTTGTTGGACCATAATGCACGGCAGCACTTAAAGAGTCAAAGTTCCTTTATTTGTCATACGCATGTGGTACATGTGGTGGAACGAAACTGTGTACACAGGGTCCCAGTTACATCCAACAATAAAATGTATAAGAAAAACAGTAATAAGATCTAAGATATGAACTAAGAAAAATGTTAAACTACAAACGCACTAAGCGCTAATAGCATAAAAACAATGCGCTGAACAGCAGCACGAACATGAGCCTGTGTGAGCAGATGGGTACGGATGAAATATGAAATAAATCAGCAGCATGAGATCAGCAGCACATAATCAAGTGTCGAGCACGTTGGTGGGGAGGTGATACCCTGGGGCTCGTTTTGCTGCCACGGGACCTGAGCACCTTCCAGTCACTGAGTTGATCAGAACCTCCTGCAGATCCAAGGATTCTTGTCAAAGATGAGGTTCCAGAAGTTCATAAAGACAGCCCAGAAGATCGTCCGCTGCCCCCTCCTCCCCTGGAAGAACGACAGATTTCCTGCTGTCTCAAGAAAGACCTGATTATTATAAAGCACGCTGCACATGCAGGCGACACAGAGTAGTCGAAACAAGAACAAATGGATTGAACGGCAGTAGACACGCCTAATGAAGCTAAACCCACCGTGCAGTGGAGTGCACGACTGTGTGTGATCTGATTTCCACATTCTTATAGGTTTTTGTGTTTTATTATCTTTAACAGTTCGTGTTAAGTTCAAGTTAGGCCGATGCTTGAGTGAGTATTTTATATTTAGGCTGCACTTCAACTTTGCATTAATCAATAAATCAGAATATGAGAAGTTATTCGTCTAAGATTTTATTCTTTTATTGAAAAGCCTAAAAACAAGTGGTTTAAATTGATGTCCTGATGCATAAAATCAAAATAAATCATATTTTATCATTTCTTTTTCCAATTACTAAAAGTTTTATTTTTTACATTTTGACGTACCTTTTTAACGCGTGTGTTTTAGGAACGTTTGAAACTACTCTTAACGTTTTTTTCTGTGTTGATTGTAAATGCAGGACGATGCAGATCCAGTTCTTCTTGGAGAACATGATGTCGCGTTGGCGTCGATAGAGAAGGTTGTCGCTGGTGAGGAAAACGTCGTGCGCACCTTGTGACGCACTTTTCTTTTTCATACATACATTTTTGAATTGTTTTAATTTGCTGCTCTGAAACAATCGTGTAGCTACGCATCAAACAAAGAGAGTTCTTGTTGTATCACTTTTATTTAAACATTCTCGAGACTGATATTTGATTTTCTTTGTTTACGTTGATTTTTGAAGCCCACGACACGATGCAGTTTTAAACTACGTCATTTAGTCTCTAATCTTTAAAGAGTTGTGCAGATTGTTAACAACTTTGTCCAGCTCGGCTCATGGTGGGTTTGTTTGATGTTTAACTGGTACTTTCTCCCACCTTGTGTTTCAGTTGGTCCCAACAGGACCAAGCTGGTGACCCCAAACTCCTCCCTGAAGTTCACGCCGGAGGAGCTGGTGCTTTACTGTCGGGACATGCGAGTCATGTGCTTCCTGTTTGACCGCCTGACCCCCGACGCTCAGGTCATCGAGGTGTGTTCGTGCTCTGAGTTAAAGGAATACAGACGAACCATTTTAATCTTTTTATGGTTGATCTCTGTGACTGATGTGCTTTGGTTTTAGGTTTTGAAAGCCACAGCTTCTTTCAGAGTGTGTTGTGAGTCGGGTTCAAGGCTCTGATTACTTATCACTCTGTACATCAGTCCTTTCAGAGCCGTAAGACATCGGCACCAAGAAGCTGATCTGTGCCACAGACCACTGATCTGAAGCTGCAGGGCGTCCCAGATGAAAGTTGATGACCTTTTGTCATGTTGATGGGCTCACTGTGGTTTCCCTCCTCAGATAACCTACACCATCGCCAAGACCTACCAGCCTCTCAAACTGGGATCCGTTTTATCTTTCCAGAACGCTGCCCTTGGGAGTGTAGGTGAGCGGTTTAATGTGTACAGCCACTCAGCGCCTTTCTGGAACGTATGCACGTCTTATTATTCTGTCAATCTGACTGTCAATTTATTCTTATTTGGCTTCCCAAGGACACGTAAAGCAGTCGTGCAGTTCAGTGCTGGGATAAACTTTAGCAATGACACAGAACGACTTTGATTCTGTGAGTCTTGGGCTTATTTAACAAATCTAAATCTGATTTATGAAACAAATTGTCCACTCGGATCAGAAATACAAATCTTTTGTTTTGGAAGAACCTTTAAAAAAAGTGTTTCAGCGTCTTCTCACTTCAGTTTTTACTCGGTCCGGAGACAGAATGCACAAAAATCTGTGACCACGTTTAGTCATCTCTCTGACTTCCTCTGTCGTCGGTGCCATCTGTAAAACCATCTGAGTGTAAAGCTGGCGCTCTTAAAGTTCATGTGAATGTGAAACTGGAAACATCGCGGGTTCTGTGCAGACCCCAACATCACATGAAGCTCACGTCTTCAAGTTGCCAGGACTGGAAATGATCTGAGTGACGACGCAGTGAAAATACTGGCTTTGAAACCAAAACCATATGGGAGGAAATCTGCCGCGGTTTGGATTTGAGGCCTTCGAAGGATGCGAGAGGCTCTTTTTGACAGTGATTTAGGAGCAGAGTTTACAGAACCTCCCAAATGTGTAATTAAGCAATCAAATCTTTTTTAATCAAGCTGTTCGGTTAAAACCAGGCCTCACAGTTCTAAACACGCCGCTGGCTGCTCACTTATGGAAACATGAGCCTGTTCGTACAATACATCGAGCTATGGTAAAGCTACGCTAGGCCGAACACTCTGTGGAAGACTGTCAGCTCTTGGATTAATAATGTAACCCCCCCACCACCCCCACCCCCCATGCACAAGTATACCAATGTCCTAAAGTTCAACTCTGTTATAAAGGGTCAAGTGTCGTCAGTACTTGGTCTTGAATCCAAAACATCACAAAAAGAAATTAAATAAGATGTGATGCTGATGGTCAACATGTAGACCTGTTCAGACCTCTGTCTTCAGTAATCTGATTACAAGTGGGCCACTCCGACTGCGTCCACACCTGGGAGTTTGGACATGTGCAGAGGAGGGATAGTGTGCATGTTGGACAAAGGATGTGGAATATGGAGCTGGGAAAGAGGCAGAGTACATAGAAGGTTCATGGATGTAGTGAGAGGCTAAGATGAGTGACAGGTGTGATCTCCACAGATGATCCGCTGTGGAGACTCCTGAAGAAAGACAAAAGCTTCAGCCTTCCTCCCACCGAACAATCTGAAACCCAGAATTAGATCTTTGAATTGTTTTGTCCCATCAGCGATGACGTAAAACCGAAACATCAAGCCCTCACATTGTGGAACGTTGGCGTGAATACTTGCATTTGCAGACGTTCGTCACAGCAACCTCATGTTGGATCGGATCTTTTCAAAATGTCACACGTGTTGAAACATAGTTCGGACAAGATGCAAACCTCAGTGTGTCTGAATCCTTTTCCCTCCTCCAGAAATGAAGCAGTTTCTAAGCAACCGCCGCCGAGACGCCCACATGAACTGGTTTGAGTCGGCCTCAGACTGGGAGCGGGAGCTGGAGCGGTGCGGAGCCACGGGCTGGAGGGTCAGCTCCGTCAACGACCGCTTCGAAATGTCGACCAGGTAACGACCAGGCCACTGCATTATGTAATGTGGAACAAAAGAGAATTCAGAGGCTGGATCCACAGGAAACCCTGGAAAGGATCCGGTTTCTGATGCACATTTTCATAAAGATGAAACGAGGCAGCTCTGACGAGCTCGTGGATGAATATGGGAACCACTTAGCGTGCTCAATACGTTTGTTCTGTATTGATGCATTTCATGTAAACTAATGCATTCATCTTCCTGGCAGCCATGTCTCCACTGGTTAGGTTCTGCCAGTAAAAGTGACCCTGTTCTCTGGTTCCCGACAGTCTGTCAAGATTCATGTTGGTTCCACAGAAGGTTCTGGACACAGAACTGAAGAAGAGCTTTGCCCACTTCAATGAAGGCCGGATTCCTGTGAGTTTCAGTACAGAGAGAGAAATGATTAAATTTAATTTACAGCGTCATTTCGCTCAGATCAATCCATGGACACTTGATTATTTTAGTTTCATTAAAAAAAAAAATCACCTTTTGTACAAAACCCATCAGGTTTTCATTACAATGATGGATTTTTAAACACAGTCTCAGTAGGAACCATCCTAAACTATATAAGATGCATCCAAACATAATGTCGTTTGTCCCCAGTGTTCATGTATTTGCATTTGCACGCACAAAATAAACCAGTTTTAGTGCGAACCCATTTCCAGTTTAGGCTGTATTTTACAACAGGAATGTTTTTGTAGCTTTTCATTAACATTCTTTCCAGATAAATTACAAAAGAAGAGCAAATCCAGTTTGTAGTTTAGGAGCAGTTTGTCATGGTAAACGGTGTAATTAAAGTCGGTGTTGTTTTGCAGCGCTGGTGCTGGAGGCATCCCAGAGGCAGTGATTTACTGCGAATGGCCAGTTTCCAGAACAACATCTACCACGAGAAAGACGACGTCAGGTCTGTGGACTTCCAACATCTTCACGCAGTTCGCTTCATCTGCGTCGGGAAACTAGAGATTTTTCTGGAGCGTAACGTCCAGTTTATTCTGGAGAGCAGAGTTTCCAGATTTAATGTTTATAAGATCTTTGTTTTTTACGTCTTCTGCCTGAAACACTTCAGCCTTTGTCTTTTTAAAGACGCCTCGCTGTGACCGGTGAAACGGCTCATCCAAGGTGGTTGGAACTAGATATTATTAGAGTATGCATAAGTGGCGTTTCCTTCCTTTGATCTTGAAGCATCTGAACGTGTTGGCCTCAAGTCTGAATGAGCATCCTGCTCATGTTTTCTGTTAATTCCTAACCTGTCTGCTCCTGGGAGCCACCGTCTCACAAGTATGCAATTAAAAAGTGAATCGATGATTCCGTCACTGGGCTGATTACTGACTGTTTGATCATCTTCATCTGGAAAGCAAAGGCAATAATGCGTTTCCCCGTGTCTGTCTGTTAGCAAAACATCTCTCGAACCACTGGATGGATTTTTAATGCCCCGTTCAGAAAATAATCAGTGGATGTGCCTCTACAGCTCGTTAACTTTGGAGTCATGCAGCTTCAAGATGGCTGCGATGGTTCATCAGCATTAGACAAAACAAAAACGGCTATATTGATGAATTTACAGATGTTGAGCTAAAATTTGGTGTGGTAGTAGCTGAGAGTTGATCAGATCCTTCGAGGGTTGCTTGGCCTTAAATACTTTTAAAGCAGTGGTTTGAGACACACGTGCACGACGAGTAACACGAAGCAATTTGACAGGTTGGTGTGTTCAGGAAGTGAAACTCTCACTGCTGACGGGACAAACCCATAAATATGATCAAAAACTCGTTTATTAAAGCCTGAGCTTCTTCTTTTTTTTGTTTGTTTGTTTATACTTGCCGTTTCTTGAATCTTTGTCGTTTCTCTCCGTCCTCGGCTGCTCAACGTCATCTGATGCAGGTTTACTCCTTACTATCGGTCAGTCAGGAGCTCCTCGCTGTAGCTGAGACGTAACTGGTCGCGCTGTAAGCAGTTTGTTTTTATCTCTCTGATAAAACCGCAACAGGAAACGAGAAGCACAAGCCGTGAACTGTGAACTCCTTCTTCTTCTTCTTGTTCCATCCAATACACAGATGTATTATTATTATTATTATCATCATCATTATTATTATTATTATTATTATCATTATTATTATTATTATTATTATTACAGTAGAATGTCCGTCCGTAAACCTCCTCTTGTCCAGACCATAACTTCTGATCTGCTGAAGATGATTTAACGAAACTTGAAACACATTTGTTTCACGCCAGCTTCTAGGTCAAGGTCACAAATCAAGGTCAAAGATGAAACCAGGTCCGGACCATTGCTATAGATTGCTGTATAAAAGTTAGTCAACGTGGGTGTAATGTGTCTTTTGTGGTACTCTTGTTTTTTTTTTTAAATAAAAAAATCAAAGTTTGCCAGATTCCATTCGACAGCCGTGGTTTAGAAAAGTTTCCGAACATCTTCTTGTTTTAATCCGTTCTGATTTGAGACAATTAACTTTTTTTATATTTCGTGAAGTGTGATTTATGGAAACCTCCAAGTTGAAGTGACTAGAAAATAAGAGGTTGTAGCCGTGCGTTGACAACAGGATGTGCTGCTCTGCAGGAACCTGGAGACGGTTCTGTTTGGGTGTCAGTCGTCCCTGTGCGTGGTGGTGGAGCTGGGCGAAGAGCTGCCGTCGCCGGCAGACGTCCAGCTGGCTCACAGCCGCCTGCGGGCCCTTTGTCTCGGAGGTGGGCTTCAAACACAAACACGTCCACACCTGAACAAATGCAAATAACTCTCTGCATTCACGTCTATAATGATCTTAGACCTGGATCACGACACCCGTGTAAAACCACGTTTGTTTCTTGTTGGGTTTAATCGCGTTGCAAACCTCGAGGCGTGTAATACACGTTCATAAATTGTGTTTATTTGTGAGTTTTATCCAGTAGAAGAAAAACAAAACTATTTCCTTTATTAGGCGATTGTTGCGATTCTTATCAAATGTGCCATAAAGTGAAAATAAGCTGAATAAGCATTCTTCAAGAGAGGTAATTGCACATCACAGTGGAATTCTAGTTACTGGGAGGATAACAAAACTGAGGAGAAACTTTCTTCTTGTTTTTGTTTCGGAGTTTCAAAATTAAAGTTGGAATGTTGAGAGTAAAGTCAAAATAAAAGACTAGAACTAAAGACAGAAAGAGTTGTTTGATTTGTTTGGGTTGTGTCCTCAACACACCTGTTATGAACACGCCTGAAGTGGACAAAGACATGAAGTTGTTTGGGGTTTTCCTGCAGGCCGAGACAGACGCTGCTGGTTTTGTCCTGTAAGCACAGACTGGTTTAGTAAAAACCAACTGAAGTGCTGATCCGTCCTTTATTCCTTGGCACAAACACACTGTAAAGGTCACTGATTATCTCCGTTCACACATTTGTCAGCTTTTTGTTTTGTCTTCTGCACAGCTCGCAGCTCTGTCCCGTATAAAACGCTCTCGCTGTCGGGCACTGCTTTCAGGTTTCAAATCTATATTTTAGATATTTACAAACTAAGTGAGGAGAAGTTTAGATATGATCTATTCACTGAACGTGTACATTTATACTCTTCAAAATCTCGCTGCACCGCACCTTCCTGTTTTTTTATTTTTGGCCGCTGTGCAGCAGAGTTGGGCTGATTTGTGCATACGTTGGTTTCGTGCAGTTTTAATAGTGTCTGAGCTGATCCGACTCGTTTCTCCTGCTTCGGCTCGTAGATATCTCCACTTCTGTGTCCATGCCTGATGACAAATGGTTATCTACTCTGGAAAGCACCCACTGGCTCGACTACGTCAGGTAAAGTCTCTGGCCGTCTCATCTTGCGCTGAATATCATCTCACTAAATGTGTTCTGGCTCAAGACACCTCGTGACTTTTTATTGTGGCGCACCGCACGTTATCTGACACGTGTGGTGTCAAACTGTTGTCAGATAAAATAAAATCAAGGAGCTGTGATCTGGATACTAAACGCTGCTGCCAGAGTTTCAACTGGAGTTAGTGGGAGAGATGTATCTCCAGTTTTAGCTTCTCTTCACTGGCTCCCTGTCAAGTCCAGAATAGAATTCAAAATCCCACTTCTAACCTTCAAAGCTCTCAACAACCTGGCTCCATCTTGTATTACAGATCTTATTATTCCATATTTTCCTCACCGAGCACTTTGCTGTCAGGCTACAGGTTTACTTGCGGTTCCTAGAGTTTCCAAAAGCAGAATGAGAGGAAGATCTTTCAGTCATCAGGTTCCTCTTTTGTGGAACCAACTTCCTGTTTCTGTCCGTGAGACTGACACATTGTCTGCTTTTAAGATTAGGTTTAAATCTTTCCTTTTTGATAAATCCTATAGTTACGATTAGCTTGGATTTCCTTTAGCTATCCCTTAGTTATGCTGCTAACTGGGGGGGACCGAGACACGTCTATGTTATGTGCTGTTTTGTACTGAAAGTTTTAGAGCTGGGGGGGCAGGTATGGGAGACGGTACAGTTTGAGGGAATCGGAGCACTGCCTTTAGCTTTTTAGCAAGCACGTCTGTATTGTGCACCGCTAGCTTAGCGCTACATCAGTGCCGGCAGTGGGGGGGGGGGTCAGTTTGGTTTGGTAGGAGGGTGGGGCGCTCTGCTTGTATAATGGTAGGGCAAACATTGTAACATGTTTTGTCTTTCCTCTTATAAAAGGAACCTGTCGTTCTGTGTCTGTTTCTACTTCCTGTCCTCTCAAACCCAGCCGCTCGTCCCGAGCCTGGTTCTGGAGGTTTCTCAAACCCAGCCGCTCGTCCTGAGCC